GTGTGCGATTCTGGTAACTATATTATTTGAGTGTCGTGAGCCTTGGATGTACGATCACTTTGTGGGTCTCCGAGGGGCGACACACCTCAAGTGGTGTTCTGGGCAGAATACAGTAGGGTCATTTGAGATTGAAAGGGGCCATGTTTTTCTGGGCCCACCTCCCACATTGTTCATCATTCAGAAGCGCCCCGAAAATCGTAGAAATCCAGTTTCCATGTCATTTGCCATTTTGCGTTTCCATTTTGATTTTCCCATTAACGGGGTGTAAAATCCTTCAACCCTTTTTAATCCCCTTTATATCTGCTCAGGAAGAAGTACCAGGCCTCCGAGGCGCCTCCAGTGGAAAGGAGATTTTCCGGGAAACTTTTCGGGAGTGATGTGCCTCAAACCAATCATGTCAAGAATAATGGTAATTATAGTAGCAGTGATTCTGGAGTATGGCTAATCTATGTCAATAAGTGCTAGAAAGCTTGGCTGGGCACCCGATTTAGAGCGCACCAATTTGTTTAGGTATCAAAAATAACCCATCTGGTTTTCCGTTATCCACATATAACCACAATATACTATAGGGTTTTTTCGGGTTCAGCCTCGGGGTGTTCTTACTAGGGTGGAAGGTTTGTACATCACTCAGGCAATTGTGTGACCTCACATCGTGCAAAAGCTGTCAAAGGGCAGGGTGCATCTGAAATATTCCGCACTTTTTAGCAGAGAAGCTGTAGGTGCTGTGTAGAACACTTTCGATTGTATTCAATTGCGAAAGGGGCAGCCCACGTCCAGAGTCTTTTGTTAAGCCTTCTTCTTGCTCAGATTGCTACCGAAACTTAACTGTGGCCTGACTCACGAAGTAGTACTGGGGATTATACAGGGGCTGCTGTGGTTGGTTTACTCGAGCCCAAGACCCCCAGTACTCCTAGACTGCGTGAAGCCCTGGACTCGTAGCCCCCCTAAACCTCCAAACCATCTTCCCGCTAAATGCCTGCACCAATCACCCTGAACCACGAACTCTTCACACAAAGCCGGAGAGCCAGGTGAAGGAGGCTTTTAGCGAGTACCTGGCCGCCGAGGATTTGGGATGCGTCTTCTTTTGTGGGTATAGTGGGCCCCACACATTCTCCTCAAAATTCAATATTTACGTAGGGTCTCTGAAGGTAGAGATATTTTGAGAAGGGTAATGGTGTTGGGATGTTTCCTTTTTTGCTGGCAGGAAATGGAAGGACTTCTGTTAAACTGCCTGGCAAATTGTCCGAATGAATGCGTGACTGTTGAGGGTAGGGCCTGGGTTTGCTCAGAGGCTTTTAGCTTCCTTGAGCTGCGGCTATCCAAAGTGGAAGAGGGCAGGGATTAAACTGGATCCGACACAGACGAACTGTATTTTCCAACGGCTCGGCTTGGCCTGGCAGAACTAGTTGCAAAGTGTTTTTCTATTGAACTAGACACCAAGAGAATTCGCCGCCTCAATGCTGAAAGTCTGCCAACAGGATATCATCAGCAAGACCACGGTGGAGCAGCTGTGCAGAACAATCGCCCGGGGCTTGATTGTGCGTGTACAAATTTCCATTCGGAAGCATTGTCCAAGAACATGTCAGCGCAAGCTGGATGCAGCTGGATCTCCCGTAGCGTAGGCTACCATGCGCATGCGGGGCGTTCACTCGGCTCTTGTTGCCAGTATCTTCGCTCCTTTGCCTGCTCCCCCCGTTCCTCCTCCGCATTGGCTTCCCGACTACATTTACTAACATAGCTGATGCAACATCTTGAATGCCACCACATTTCTACCAACAACGCCCTAAAAACCCTGGAGCCCAGCACGGGCCTTGCTCTGGGTCATATTGGAACAGAATCCGCTTTGACGAGTTCTCAATTGCGGGTGCCATTTGAAGGCTTCGTCGGGATTCTATAATGGCTTTCTTAAGTGGTCTTTCGTGGAAATCCTCATGGCAGGTTAACCAATCCACTCACACTGGAAGTTGCGGAGCGAGCTGGTGGCCAGATTGCTGCGTAGGTCCACGGCAGCCATGTGGCCGATCCGAAGGCAATCAACATCTCGCCCCCGAACGTAAACGAGGAATGACAAAGATGTGCTCGAAAGAAGGACCACTTGCCGTGGATTGCCATGCAGCGTGAGCGCATGGCTTGAGGCCAATTATTTGCACAGGCTTGTTGATGACATGCCAGCTGTCTGGAACCTTCGAGAAAGACTCGGGCAACACGGGCCACGGTCCTGTCCATGCTTCGAAAAGGCGGGTGACCATTTTGATGTGAACGTGTTGTCATGTATACGCGAAGAGCCTGTGAAGCTCAGACCTTTTTTCGGGACATGTTTGCGAATGTAATCAGCAATTGTGAGGAACTACCGAAGGCGCCCCGAGAGACGCAACCGCCCAGTATGGTATTAACTTGCCATAACTAAGCCGCGAATAAAGCCACTGGAACGATAGTGCAGCGATGCTGATGGAGAAGAATCATAGGTCACTGTCATCTTTTGTGGTTTATTGCACTCAGTCCCCAGGTGCCACTACTGCTGGATCTGGAGAGGGTCGACACCATGGTCGTTGCAAACCTGCGCACAGAGGCACTCGGTATCACTCGGTGTTTGGCTGGCATTCATGGGTTTCTGGTTCATGTAGCAAAATTGGGTGCTGTGTATTACGGGCGCCCCCAGGTGCAAGGGCTCAAAGTCATGAAGTTTGCTTAGTCTGATGGCCTGATGCCTTGGAAAGAGGCTTTGGCGGGACTGTGAAGCAGAATGAGCTTGATGTGTCTTTCGTTGGGTGCTTCTAAGAGTAGCACAAGGCTGATGTGAAACACCTTCAGAAGTCTGTTGCAACATCTTGCCCCTCCCATACGAGTTCACAGTTCGCACTGTAAGTCTGCGTAGTCACTGACTTTCTTATCCTGCTGTAGACTTCCCAACTACTTGATTTTCCTTATGCATGCAGATGCATCATGTCCCCAACAGGTGCTGCGGACTCTGAAGATTGTGCAGGCACGGAGCGCCGGGATCATACAAAAGCGTGACTACTCAATTGGACACTGGGGGGATTGGACGCAGAGCTTGACTTGCTTGCAGTCAGTCGGCTTCCCGACATGAACGTGTTCGCGTCTACTTTTGAAGAACCTGTTCGTCGACAAGAGCTTTGCTTGAGTTTGAAACATATATTTGTGTGTCTGTGTATATCTACGTATCCAAGGAAGCTGGGGGTTCTTCAAACAGGAATTCCCCTGCGGGTCATTCTCGTGTGGATTCAGCGTCCTCGGGCTTTTGTGATGGAGCCTCATATTTGAAAAACGTGAATCTGCCGGAGGATTTGCATAGGATGCCCTCTAGCATCTTGAGGCCAAAATACTTGCACAACGCGAAGACAATACAAACTCCACACAATCCCCAACATCGCTTCTTTGATGCCATCTCTGAAGTTGCTGTCTATTTCCCGGTCGCCCCCGTTAGGTTGAATATACCATGGCACAGAGCATCGCACCTTGTGCAGGTTTGCATCCTGCGGATCGTCACTTTTGAAATGCTCCGCGAGAAGTCTGCGAAGGCCCAGTGGGGAGCATCCTAAGCCCAACTGTAGAAGAGTAGCATCGATTCTTTTCCCAATGACCTTATGTCGAGAGGCAAGCACATCATTGAAGAGCTTCTGTAACGAGTATGCAGGGTGCTGCGAAAGACTTTGAAAGGTGTAAGGGAGGATTGGAGATCTAATGTGCCACAATCTTGAATTCCTACGTCAAACCTGTGCTTCTCTGGGCTGGCAAGTTGTCAACACATCTCATGTAGATGTGTTTGCGCTCTCTGCTGTACAGCACGTCCTCCCCAAGCAATGGCACCCTTCCCCAAACCTTTGACTAAGTCTTTGTGGAACTAGCCTCATGGTTTCTAATCCAATGGTTATCCTACATGTGCTCTTTACGCATAGGGTCTGGTACCAGGGTAGAAACCCCAAATCTCAGGTGCCCCAGGGTGTCCTAAACCCTAACCCAAAGCTTTGACCTGCATGGTGGACACAAACGCCCCTCCATTCATGGGTTCCGCCACTACCCTCCATCATACCATTCATAGTTATCCTTTTAATGACCCCTTGAGTACGGTAGTATAGGGGGTAGTAGGGGAAGCCATGCTGGTTCAATGTCTTGCTTGGCAGGCTGAAGCAGCTAAGAAGAAGGGCAAGGGCAAGAAGGCTGGAAGCCTACAGGGCGGGGCTTTAGGATACAGGGTTTGGGCGCTTTTGGGCTTTGGTGTTTTAGGGCTTTCAAGGTTGAGGGTATAGATTCGAATTATGCATCGGGAAGTTGGGAGGTACCATGAAAGTCTACAGATTCCTGTACAACAATCAGGAACGTTTCTAGCACAGCATGAGGGGCAAGGCATAATCACAAGAATTTGCATGCGGCGCGGCAGCCAATTTTAGGTATCAGGCACATCATGGCAGCGCAGAAAAATATGCAGCCTTGAAACTTCGTACAGAACTTCAGAAAATTGTGCTGCACAGACACCGGGTTATGATCTCCTGTCCGTTTGTAGATGACAACCAGCACGGGGACGACCATAGTCCTTCAAGACCTTACAGATATCTCCCATAGAGCGCTTGAAGCCTTGAAGGCAGGATCCAATGTCTGTCCCACAGTATCCTCACAGCCGAAGAAATTTCACCGGATATGGTAAGGCCCAGGGCGAGGTGCCACCCGAGGGCGCAGCGTGGCAGCCTCAGGGGTTTGTCCAGCCTTCTTATTGCGCCCTGGATAGTGTAGAGGCCTGAAGATTTATGAATGCAATGCTTTTTTTTTCCGATTAAAACCATAAGTAGTGAGCACCAAAGCCAAAGCCCTATTCTAATTACTTTAGCTGCTACAGTACCACCTTGGATGGAAGTCCCCAGGTAAGATTCCCCAAAACGTAGAAGTTCCTTCGGCGTTGCAGAAAGACGGTGGTGTAAGGCTTCCTGCATCTAGAGACTAGAAGCCGTGGATCCTTTGGGGGAGACCCACTACCTGGCATTATGGTAAGTTTCAAAAGGGGTTTGCCTGGGGAGTCGATGGCTTCGCAGATTTAGTAGATCTCACGTGAAGTGCTACGGCGGACATATTCAGCAACTTTCATAGATCCTGCGGTGGGACACAGAAGGGGCGGAGCTTTACCCAGACAAGGCAAAGCTAGAGCCCCTCGTCATCGCTTGATATTGTCCCAGCGTCCATGAGGGGAGGTGGGGTTACTTCTGATGGTTTAAATCCACCGCAAGTAGGATTTAGGCGTTTGAGTTCTGGGCTACCATCGCGGCGGCCCCTCGACCTTTGTTTGAAGTTCGGGGCTTGTGGGAGGGCTCCTACGTCACTGCATTGGTTGCGTAGCAGCATGTTGCATGTTCATATATTCGTGCTGTTGTCTCGAGGTACCTTGCGAGTGACATCACTTCCCTGGCAAAGGCCGGACGGATTTTTACTTTCTGTCGGTCATGGCGTCAAGAGCTGGATTTTGTTGCTAGGGTTGGCTAACGTTTGGAAGTAGGATCGTTCGGAAGTGAGAAGGAGCTTGCTCCTGAAGCCTTACGTACGTGCCTCGAAAGGGAGAGCGCAAACTTGACCAGAAGCTTGGTAAATATGTGGCCACATGTACCGCAATCGGAAGTTTTTACAAGGAAGTACCGGGATAATGTAGGAAATTTGTTCCCCAGTGAAAATGTGTCTTCAGCTCACGAGGAATAGATGCATTCTTGAGGATATGAGACACAAGGGCCGGCCAGGCGGCCTTAGAATAATCCATCAACAGGTGGATTGCACGGACTTCCAGCACTAAGACAGTGGCAGCAATTGTACATAGCCTCTTCAAAGTGTTTTATGCCAATGTTAACCTGTTTTGCAAGGTTTGCGTTATGTGCACAGTTCTAGACAAGTTGATGTTTCTTGGTGGAAGACTGGCTTGGAAACAGATGCAATCAATCTTCACTTTGCATCCGCGTTCCTCAGGGGAGGTTTGTTCAGCCACTAGATGCTGGCACATTTCAGGTCATCCAGCATTTCCGCTTTGATCAGAACTTCACGAAGGGAGTGCGCCGCCCTTAGTTCAAAGCTCTGAGAAAAGACAGTACTGTAGGCTTTTACTTTTTCCTTGGCCAGAGCAGATGGTCAAACTACATCCTAGCTAGCGTGGCTGACAATCTGTCAGGAGGAGTTACTGCCACAGTGCCACAGCTTCCCGGAGATGCACAAAGACCTCTGAGAAATTGCGCTAGGAATCCCCAGTTGGCCAGCCATCCGATGGCCTTATCCTTGCTTGTCAAGGGTAGGGAGAGGGAAGACCATTTGGCCGATAAGTAAGGGAACGAGAGCAGGCTTCTAACTTGGGCGTGGGGCTTCGCATTTCAGCAGACTATCCCAGCGGCCAGGTAGCTTGAGTTCAGCTTAGACTTCGCAGACTGTTGAGGCTAAGAAGTCCATGACTACTGCCGGGAACCCCCCATGAGAGAACCTCAGTAGCCCAGGCATCAGCTGATCGTCGCCTTCCGGAAGCAAAAGGCGGAGACCCCTCGACCTGAGAAAGGCCATCTGCCAAACTTCGCAGGGTTTTCCAGAGTGTAGGGTTTCATTGCAGTGTCAAGGGCCTCCGCTCAGACCGTCGGATCCTTTGGAACCTCATGCACCCTAAGTGGGACAACCTCAGCTTCAGGATCAAAACTCCTGAAATCACACTCTCCGAACCTAAAGCCTTTCCAGTCAAGATTCCTTTGAACTACCAGTGTCCTGAGCAGATTTACTCAACATAGACCAACATGTCATAACTAGGGTTGGCACCTAGCCAATAAGAGTGGTACAAAACGAAATTCAAGATTTTCATATATGATTGCCAGTTTCCCTTGCGGTCTGTTAGTGGCTGGGGGTCCAACTTAACATATAATGCCCGTTATATTGACACGTTTCTCCAAAACGCGACCCCTGATTATTAGAAGTTCCCATAAGTGGCCTTAATGCGCAGCTTCGAGGAAGTCTTAAGGGGGGCTTCAAGGGAGGCCGTCAGGTGGGGGCCTGTGAAACTCAATATAACCACGGTTTCCGTTTCATTCTCCATTTTCTTCTCTACTTATTAATACTGCAGCTCATATGATGACTACTATTCTTATCTATTATTGTTTTTGCTGTTTTCGTTGTTATTCTTGCTATTATGGTTATTGTAGTTGATTTGGATATCATTTTAGGGATCCAGATGTCATGGCTGAGCTCCCTGCAGGCCCTGCCGCCAAGGCGCAGCCGAGGAAAAAGCCCCGGTCGGAGACAGAGGCACAGGTCCAACACCGTTTTAGAGGAAGGATCTACTACTTTTAATAAGAATAATGATGATGATAATGATTATTGTTATTGCTGTCATTATTACTACTATGAATATTATTCCTAGTAGTTTCTTTTTACATGGCGATCATTTTAGGGGCTGTTATTCCGCAGGGTAGGCTTGCCCTTCCCTTCCCATTAAGGCCTGGTCAGCTATCCAAGAAGTGCAGAACATGTCGCTTACTGGTGCTTCAGAAGTGGGGTGTTTAGGGGTTCAGAGTTTGGGGGTTTTATGGTCTTAGGGGCTTAGGGTTTACGGCTTAAGAAGTGGAGGAGACTTATAGGATTCTACGGGGTTGTATAGGATCCACTCTTGGACTTTCTGTAGGCACGAGTAAGAAGAGTCACGTTATCGCAACAACTGCTGCTCCATCGTGAGCTGGCGGTTCCTGGTTCAAGAGAACATTTTCAGCCCCCAGACAGATTCCTGTATTTTAAGGCCAAGGTGTTCTACAGGGGCTTTAGGGGTTGCAGGACGCCTTGAGCAAGGAAACTAACTTCCACGCCTAGCGGTGCTTGACTCACAGCTCAAGTCGACCGAAACTCAAGATGGATGCTTGATACTGTTCACAGTTGAAATGCTCGTGATTTGGAAGCTCGTGGAAAAGAAGGTAAGGCTCTCGTTAGCTTTTGCTTGCTTCCGTTTTTTTTTCTGCAGGGTTGTGGAGCGTCGGTGTGTTTTTTCTATTCTTGTCTTCCAGAAATGGGGCTACTATGATCCTTATCCCGATCACTGCAAGAGGAACCCCAAATTGTTAGAAGCCCATCTCTCTATAAGCCATTACATAATCGCAGCTGGCATTTCATCTTCCATGTATTCCATTTGATTCTTCACTATTCAGGTAACATGGCTAGATGTACACTTTTTTTTTGAAGGCCTCACATGCGGAAAAGCCAGGCGCCGGAAAAAGCCGAGGTGCCAGACAAAGCGGAAAAGACGGAGAAAGCCGAAGAGGCGGAGAAAGCAGCAGAAGGAGGAGCGTGGGGCTCTAAACTGGCAGTAATTCTTGAACATCTGAGGTTCCCCCCCGCATCATGAAGACCGTCTGAGTAATTGTTTCTCCTTTGGAAATGGTAATTTCCATTTTCTTTTCCATTATCTCAATATAACCCATATATACAGAATATGGCTTTGGGTTTTTTATAGTAAGATACCCATATACCCCATATTCTATCTACTTAAGGGGGACTGTAAGCCTATCTCAGCAGCTTTTCTCCCGTGTTTGCATCCGCATCGGGCAAACTCTGGGGCTTCTCGGGTGAACACTGACACCATGTCTCGGAGGCCAGGAGGATCAGGCTGGGCAACGAGGGCGGACTGGTCGGGATGATTAGGATTTCATGTTCCGCGTAAGAGAGTTTACTGTTGTCTTTCTTTTCTTGTTTAGGAGATAGGAAACCCTTCTAGGAGGGGGAGGCAGACACAGTACACCTCCAGGAGAGAAGCCTCCAACTGCCACTGAGGAGGACAACGCTGATCAGGCAGCGGACAGCTTTGGTTTGTAGCATGCTGTTAGAGCGACTCTGGAGGGGCATGAAACCATGGCGTCATTAATCTCGGAAAGAGGAACGCAAAGGGTGACTTCTAACAGTGAATGACATGCTTAGGATACTCAGACTCTCTCTCTCTCTCTCTCAATATCGAGGTGCTGCAGGATGCTGCAAGCGAGATGCCTGCATCTGTAGCTCTCCGACGTTGGAACATATACTGACACCAAGGGTTCATAACACGATCTGCCACTTCAACAGTTTACCTCAAGCCACGTGAGACCAGCCTTGCCCTGCAGCCCTCGAAGCCATGGCCCTACTTGTAGACAGGGTGGGTTATAAGTGAAGGGGTTATGAAGGATAATTTTGAGACGTTCTAGGGGCACTACGTCTCCAGACTTGGGATCTCAGAACTCCCCCAAATTAAAGACCCAGCCCGAAGCCCCCAACTCCGAAACCAAAGAGCGAAAACCCAGAACATGAAATAGTGCTCGCCAGAAAACCCCCAAGACCCTAAAACTTGTATCTCCTTGTAACTCCTTAACCCTTTGCTCCGAGTGTTTCTGGCAAGGATGGCGAGGGCGAGGCAGGTGGCGAGTCTCGGACTCAGCAGCGGAACTTTCTGCAAACACAGGGACAAGGTGGGACTTGGCCTAACTTAAGCCATTAGTGCTGCGGATGATAGGGGTTTTATAGGGATAATGGAAGAACCATGGAAACTACTATTTAGGGTTGAGGGTTATGGGCTGTGGGGTTATTATTCCAATACTGGAGACTCAAATAGCCAAGAAAAGGGGCAATGAAATAGGCACCTCTACAGGACCTGGCCCAAATTACTCTTCCCCCCAAATGGGGGAAAGGTATGTAGGGACCCATGTTGTAATAGGAACCACACTATAGGGACCCGTACTACAATGAATGTAGGGAAGTCCGTGTGTGCTTTACTTAGTTTCTAGGATGCTGTCTTAAGCCCTCTAGGGTTGTACGTTGAAATGGTAGTAGCCAGAATTATTTCGGGACCCCCCATATAGAACCCCAAAATCTTAGGACTGGGTTTCCCACCCAAAAATCAGAAATTGATTTAAATTCCCAATGCGCAAATGGATGCGGGTGGGGTCTCCTTGAGACTGACTTCAGCATTCCTTGCAGGACGATTAGGGCCTCGGCCTGCTTTGAGATACAGTATGGGCTCAGATTGAGTTCTGATCACATCTCAGACGGGGGAAAGCTAAGTCTCTCCAAAGGATTCAGGGGTTCAGGTTGCATCCTGTGACTTGCAAAGATCATGCTGCATGCCCTTACGTGTGTTGAGACCTCTAGTACCTGTAGAATGACATGTCGATGAATCTGATCCTCTGAGGCTAGCCCGGGGCCTTTTAAGATGCAGTATGGCTGAGCTTAGCAAGACCATGCTCACACTAACCTCCTTTGTACACAATCCCCATGCCGTCGCGCATACATGATTCCCATATGATGTCTCCTCTGAACCCGTATAACCCGGTACGAACTTTTTCGCCGAGGCCTGCAAGGAAGAAACCGCGACTCGTCTCCTGATGTTGTGCCATCATGATACCATAGTTGCCACGAAGGACCCGAAACTTACCAAAATTGGCATGATGCCACGCTTTCAACTAATTGTCTTCAATCGGCGGCACACAAGGCAAGGAAGACCCTGAACTGGACTGGCCTTTGGTTAGCCAGGAATGAAAGACTGGATCCCTAAAGTGGTCCCTATATAACCCAGTATGGTAATTTCCGTTTTCTTTTCCACTCCTGGCCCTAGACCCCAAACCCTGAGACCCCATTCTTTAGTTGCCGTCTAGCGGCTCTTGCACGGATCTTTGTGAGAAAGGGCTGTGGGAGAGCCACAGCAGCTGAAGTGCAACTGAAGACCCTTACCTTTCTGGTACTTATCTTCGGCTCCATGGAACGTTTCTTGCAAAAATAATCAAGAAGTTTTATCGGTCCCTTGACACCTCGATTGTTTGAAGCCACCAGCTCTGTTGCGCATCTGAAGCCCGCAGTACTCTGAACTGGACCTAACTTCCCCACGTTTCCCGCGTCAGAGCCCAAGATTATTTGCAAACTTAGGCATTTTTGCCGGCACGCTTAAGTCCAACATTCTTGGATCAAAGCTAGGGATCTACTTTGACGAATTACCCGCTCTAGCACTCGGCGACTGCTCCCTTTCTCACGGATCATTGGGCCGAGTTTCATCCCCTGCCTTGGCCTGGGCTGAGACCAGAGGGGAGCTGTGAAGCTTTGATCTTATGGGTTATATGGGGGATAATGGAAGAGAAAATGGAAACTACTATAATACTTAGGATATTGGTGGGTTTTGGAATTAGGGATCCTGGGGTTGTCCCTTAAAGCTGAGATCATGTGACGCATGATCTTGATTCCTTGCCGTATGCAAATGAATAGACAGGTCAATGTCAACGAGTAGAAGGGTTCCCTTGCAGATGCCAATCAGTCGTGCTAGTGGCTATCCATCGGTCGCATGGGTCATCTTCTGGACCATGAATTCTTACGTGTTGTTGTCTCGGAAGGGCTCGGTGACGCAGCTTTGACTGACCGTGATTCACCGTCCCTTCATCGTCTGGAGTATAACTTGTTGAAAGTCGGATGTCTAAGAAGCATAGGCTCAAGTTGTTCATTTGCAAATGTGCTGCTGCACATCCTAGTTTCAAGTCTCATCTTATGTCTCCGGCATGGTCAGGCGCGGAGTTCCCAAGACGAGGGGATTTAAAGGTGAATTGTGTCGGGACAGGTTGCATGATGTCCCTTGTGTCATGCAGGTCTGGGCTATCCCTGCTTTGGAAATATTTGCCGGAAAACTTCCCATTGCAACCCCTTAAGAGACCAGTTGACATTAAACTCATCCTTCAATCCTAGTTGCATCTTGAAGATTCCCTCTGAAGACGCACGCAGTCAGAGGGAGATTTGCATGTTTAAACATTAGCGGGAGAGGGATTGAAAAGTGCTTTCGGGTCCGAACCCCTGATCTCAGCTGCACTAGGTGCAGGCACGCGGAGGTGGAGTGATCCGCAAGGGGTTTAGAAATGACAACATGGATGGATCCAGAGATTCTGGTTGTCAAGGCTGATCTTTAGAGGGTTGACTCTGTCTTTTGTTCAAGAAAGGGTTGGAATAAGAGCAGCATACGGGTGGAGTAGACGAGTTGTCCGCAAGGATCGGATTGGGGACGAATCTTGATCCATTCCCATATCTCCAAAATCTAGTCTGCACCCCCTTCGACATAACCTGCAGGTCGGGTGTGGGGGGTAAGTGGGGTAACTTGACCACCCTCAGCTTTTCAGGGCCTTGCTTTCATTGAAGCTTGAAACATTTGGCAAGCCAGTCGTGTGAACCTTCCACTGCTCTTCCAATCGAGATTAAGATGGCAGCGCTACTGGCGACGTAAGGCAGCTACGAAAATCTTACAGAATGCAGGAGTTACTGTGCTCGTCGTTTTTTCTTCTCACAGCGGTGTCAGTAGTTTGCTAGAACTCTAAATGAGGTCCTGTTTGGAAGACCATGTTGAGACAGTAACCGTCGCACAGACTGCTTGAAACCCGCGTGGCATGCAGCAGTATGGTTACAAACACTGAATCCTATTGCCTGCAACCTGTTGAGCCCTAAAAATCCCTACGTTTTTGAAACCACCAAACCCCTGGACCCCGACGGAAGCTGCCGCAGCTGTCCGGTTCACTTCTAGTGCGAGCTCGCTGCTTTGCCTTCCATCCAGGCGGGTCTAAGCACACAGGGGCGTGTCCCCCCTATAAAATGGGTTCCTTCCTGTGGGCCATTAGAACAAGGATGATCGCTTTTTTGAGGGGTAGCTATCTGGTCTACATTTCGAGAATGATGGAGGGGAGTAGACGTAGGCGGAGGAGGAGGAGCAGCAATGGCTAAAGCAAATCCACATAAGTGAATGTCAGATTCATGGTTGCGATCTGAAGCAGCAAAGGATCCTAGCTTTGAATAGGCAACAGTCCAAACAATGTCAGTTGGCCCAACAGGCCACTGCCGAATTCGACTTGCAACTTGTCGCATGTGCTTGGTTTCCTTGGTTTCAGTGGAAATGCCACGGCTTTCCCAAGTCGATGATAACCTGAGATGTTGGGTGTATGTCTAGCCCCTCTAATTTTTTCAGCCTCCAATCCCATCAAGCCCAGCCCCCCCCACAAAGCTTGAAACCTCCAAACCTAAACCATTTGCAACACATCCATGAGGAAAAGATACCCAACAACCTAACAGCGTCTTCCATATGTAATAATTATATAGACTGATCACGGGGGTGTGGGGTGCTTAGGTATTTCGTCGGATATGACAAAGTAGCAGTGGTAGTGCCTTTGTGATCTTAGAGATTCATCCCGGTATAGTCCCCCTTAAGTAGATAGAATATGGGGTATATGGGGATCTTATTATAATATACCCAAAGCCATATTCTATCTACTTAAGGGGGGCTATAGCCCTTGCTGCGCTTCTTTGGGAGGTTGGCCTTTGCCTCGCCCTTTTGCCGGGCATGGCCCAGCCGCTGTGCTTCATCAGAGTCAGCTAAGAAATTTGCCCTCTATTACTGGTACTACTACTATTATCATTATTATTAACACTACTACTACTACTACTACTACTACAACACTACTACTGCTGTCTCCGCGAGGACCGCGACGAGCTAAGCATGACAAATGACGGCTTTTTCCCTGTGCTTGTCGTTCTCCTACTCGGCCTTCTTGTGCGCTAAATTCACACGCGTCCCAGGCCTGACAGCAGTCGCGCTCGCGCCAAATCGATCGGGCACTACATCCTTGGCAGGGCCCTCAGGGGACAAGTCTTCAACTGAGCTGCCCCGAGCTTCCTCAGCAGGATCTGCATTAACGTGTCTAGTGCTACAAGTCGTCCCCTGTGTTATTGCGCCGTGAGGAGTTCTAGCCGGCCAAAAGCCAAAACGTATTCCCGATTTGAACCCCAAGCTTAAACTGTGGAGCCTCCAGCATGCATCCCATCATGCGTGCTCTGCGCTGTTGCGCTCCGAACCGCGGAACCTTGCGTACTTCCAGTAGCCCCCATATGAAACCCAGTGTGCGGTGCAAACCCTGCATTGTTACATGTGGCCGGACAGGAAAGACAATCGGTGAAGGCACGTTTGGGAAGGCCACTAGCTCAGACAAGTGGTTCCAGCGAGCGGTTGAGGGGTGTACAGTCTGGGGCTTTTAGTTCAGTGTGCATAGGTCCAAGTCATCGTTGTTCCTTTATGCGGGCCAACGAGCACTTCCAGAAAAGACAATGCTCCAAAATCAGTTCTCTGTGACATGTCTAGCTATCCTCAAAACGCAGGAGGGGCCCCAAGAGCGCATCCATAATGTTGAGACTTCTGAAGAACCTCTCAATTTGCCCCATGGTTATGATGGTAAGCTAGACGTTTCTCAAAGTACGTGCTGTCCGCTGTGAGGTTTAGTTTCTACGGCAAAAGAATCCCAACAGCACCCATCTTGTAGAACTCCTGGCATCATTAGCTGACAGATGAGGCCTAGATCTCAGGGTCCAAATCCCTAGGGTGGTTGTCGTAGTATCAGCACCAAATGAAACAAGCTAGAAGACTCACAACAAAAGGCAAAAGCAAGCAAATGAAGACACTTAAGCAAACACGGAACCCCTTTGACATCATCCAGAATATATCGGCAGAGGTTCGGGGTCAAGGGATTCAGTCTGGAAGCAAGCATATCAAGACGGGTAAACACATTGAGAAACACGTGACAGATCTAAACATACATATATATATATACACACGTAGATCTATGCAAAATCAAGGTGTGGATGTTGTCCAGTATGTAGGGGCGAAGGTTGTTCCAGCAGAGTTGAGATCCCGACGGCTGCAGTCAACATTTTTTTCCTTGTTTTGACTAGAGGAAGGAACTTGTCGTGTGGGAGCCTCTTCAAAATATTCCCTAGTCAGCCCTCAAGAAAGACCCCTAGAACTATTCGTATTCAGCAATTCTTCTTCTTCTTATTAGTATTTCTATTATGACTACTTCTACTACAAATATTTCTCTTACCTTTATGAAACTCCATAAAGTCCGCAGGCATCCTTGGGCCCTCCTCTTGAACAGGTCAAACTTGGAACCCACATCTTGACCTCCGAGCGTGTCGCAGTGAAAGCACGGGCCTTTGGTTTGCTTACTGGTGCTGAGGGGAGAGTGGGGGAGTGGATCCCTAGAATAGTCCCTATATATACTCTTCATATAAAGCCCCATAATGGTACCTATATTCACTCCCCCACTCCCCCATTAAGCATCAGTAGCTCAATTTCATGTGGGCGTTTCTGGAACTTGGAGGAATCGATATACAGGGTTTACATGGGGGTGATGGGGTCTGATGGGGGTCAACAGTAAGCATTTTAAACAGCTAGTTTTGAGAAACTCCCATTTCAGGATTCAGGCTTTGGGAAGTAGCTCTGGGGCAGCTTCAAGTGCCATTCATTAAAGATTTAGAAAATCAAGCGTGGGAGTCAGAGAACCTGGGCAACATGGGTTTAAGGACATTATGGGCAT